GAGAGAGAGAGAGAGAGAGAGAGAGAGAGAGAGAGAGAGAGAGAGAGAGAGAGAGAGAGAGATGGCGACATTCCAGCAGCTGGAGATCGCATTCTATGACGTGGCGACGACCTATCCTGTTCGTGAGGGCGATCCGGTGGAGTTGGTGGAATTCGGCGCCGTGATTGTGGCTGCACAAGGATTTTTCGAGACCGACTCTTATTCTACGCTGATCCGGCCGTCCACCCTATCGCTTATCACTGCTCGCAGTGTCGCTTCCAATGGTATAACCAGAGATGCACTTCGTGATGCTCCAACGTTTGCGGATGTGGCGGACACCATCTACAATGTGCTGAATGGTTAGTATATACAGTATGTGTCTGATCCATGTTAATTACCATTAACTGTTTGAATTAACAATATACTGTTTCCCAGTCGAATTCTTTTCCTGTACCTTTCCTTGAGTGTGCGGCCGTCCCTTCATTGCAGTTGTCGTCACCATATCTGGCTTCGTTATCTGTGCGATCGTCCCTCCTCCCCTCGTATCTGTGCGGCGATCCCACACCAGTAGCCATATGGGGGCCTTTCCTTCACTGATCTGTCGTCCATCCCTTCACTGATGTGTTGACCGTCACTCCGTTCATGTTGCGGCCATCACTTCATGAATGTTGCTGTGGTCATTCCTCGTCCCTTGGTCATCTGCGCGCCCATCTCTCCATTAATTTTGGGGCCATTACTCCTCTCTCGATGCCTGTTGCGGCCATCTGTGCGGCGATCCCACACCCGTCGCCTGCTGCGCGGCCATCCCTTCAGTACAGTAAAGGGTTGGTCATACCTCCTCTATTATGTTGCGGTCATCCCTCCTCTATTACTGTATGTTGCGGTCACCCCTCCTCTATTATGTTGTGGTCATCACTCCTCCTTGATCATCTGTGCGAGCACCCGTCGCTGATATCCGTGTGCCCATCCCTTCATTAATGTAGCGGCCATTCTTCCTTCCATGCATGTTGCGGCCATCCGCCCTCACTTTTCTCAGCTCTGCGGCCATCCCTCCTCTCTTGGTCACCTATGCGGCCTTCGTTTTAGTGATGTTCCGGCCATCCCCGCTCCCCTTGCCATCTCTGCGTACTTACTGTATTAGTAGTGTCACATGCATGCTTCATCTGCCTACCCTTGTTCTTCATTCATGTTACAGCCCCCCCTTCCTTAGTAATCGGTGCGGCCATCCCTTCGTTTATGTTCCAGCATGCCATTTCACACACATTTCTCATCCCTTAGCCATCTCCCCTTTGTTATTCGCCTACTACCGTAGTTGCGCAAACCGTCCTCTCCTAGTCAATGACGTCTCTGCTTATGTTTTGCACTGTTAGCTTGTTCACTTTCGTGTTCCCTTGTTTCTTGATTAGCGTCTACTTCCTTTCTGATTTCTTCTGCATCTTTGCTGCGTCTTTGTGTGATTACCTTCTCTTCTCCTTCTTTTTCGTTTTCCAATTTTTTGTTTTCCAACGGGACTGACCTCATCGCCAGAATGTAAGGTTGATCAGCAAGGATGGGTATCTGTGCGGTCATTGTTTTTCGTTCAGCAAGGTCATCATCAGCAAGGTTCTGGTACGACGGTTGATAGATCAGATTCTGATCTCCACACTCGCGACCCAAGGAATTGGCATGCACATATTTTCTGCAAGTTGGTCAGTCGTAGTATTTTCGTTCCCTTCGTTGTAAAGCTTGTCATCCCTGCGCAGGGGCCACGCTAACCTTCTGTATCCTTAACTGATGTCCCGAAGGACAGTTGGATTTTTTCCTCTTTTTTTGTGGTGGGAAATCGGAAATAACTTTTTGAATGCGAACTACAACACCTGCACGTCTCCATCGAAATCTGTTTCGAACGGCATGGTCTGAAATATCCAGCTGAGTCAACATATATAACTGTGAACTAAATCCTGCAGGGTATTTAGAGCCATTACTGTAATAGTCGTAGCTTACGGAATATTTCTCTCTTTTATTCGTTCTGAGGCATTTACAGCAACTGTTGCGCTATATGAGCATACATAGCGCGAAATGAATATATGAGCATACATAGTGCTCAGTGAATATATGAGCATTCAGTGTGCTAAATGAATATATGAGTACACATAGTAGTTGTGGAGCAATCTACCTCGAATGGCTTCGTATTCTATTCTCTCTCGGGATTGCCGAACATACTCACACTGTGGCCGCAGTACTCCGCCGGGTAAGACTCTGAAGTTCCCGACGGCCTGGAATTTTACACGTTGTTCAACTTGATTTCTGTTCCCGAAAATCAGAGGAAACGGAGTTTGCGAGCTCAGTTTCTCCGAGTTCTCCGAGTAGAATTGTGAGGTCCCTGGCCTCCTGCAATTCGTGATGTCATTGTAAGTTCTTTGTTGCAGGATACCCAAAATTGGAAGTTATCTACAGCTGTACTCCTTCGGGTAGAATTGTCGGGTCCCCGGTCTCATGGTCACAGACAATGTACATCCGAAAATATATAGACGAAGACACACACACACACACACACAGAGAGAGAGAGAGAGAGAGAGA